GGAGGAGAAGGAAGAAGGGTGCCAGCTGGGAGGGGGCTGGTGCCCGTCCTGCCACGGTGACACACAGCGGGGCCAGCCCTGCCTGTGGCATTTGTGCAGACCCAGCTTGTGCAGAGGCCACTCTGCAGAGATGTCCCAGCCAACGCCTTCACTCAGCTCTGCTGCTGCCTGTGTCACCATCCTGCTCAGCTGCGCCTGGCTCTGCTCGGCCACCCAATTGTCCCCAAGTAAGTGCCTTGTTGGGTCTGGGGGGTGATGGGCAGGGCAGGGAGGCCTCGCTGGGACACTCCAACATTGTGTCCCCTGATACTTGGAGGGAATAGCTGGGTGTCACGGTGAAAGCTCAGGGCACTGCTCTGCTGCCTTGCCTGGGTTTCCACGTTGAAGATCTAAGTGAAGACCTGAAACCCTGCCACTCCTTCCCCTTTAGGCAGCAAAAGTCATGTTACTGCTCTTGTAATCTGAATTTCCCCTGTTCCCTGGATGTGGAGAGGTGGCAGAGGTTGTGGGAAACTGGTTGGATGTACCTGGGGCCCCCAAGGGCCCGATGTCCTGGGGACCACCTGAATGGAGCTTTTGGAGCCTGGGGGTGACGTGCAGGGAGCAGAGCCTGGCTGTGTTTTTTTTGCGCAAGCCAGGAAAGGGATTTGATGGGACGTTGTTTCCCTGGTGTCCTGGGACCTTCCTGTTCTTCACTTCTGTTCTGAGCACACAGTGAAAAGCCTTGAACCACAGGAAGATGGAGAGGTGTGTGCAGCCCCAGCCGCAGTGGGGGGCCAAGCTGGGGGACTGGCCGGGAGAAGGAGGAGGCAGGAGCCCTGGTGGGAGAACATCTCCTCTCCTGGTGTGGGTGGCCATATCCTGACCCTGTCCTGGCACCAGTTTCCCATCTTCCCTTTTGATCCTGTTGGGTTACAGGGGACCCGTTGCGCTAGGCTCAGTAGGAAGAAGATGTTGGCAGAGCTGTGTGTCCCTGCAGCAGGGCATGGGAGCAGAGCCTGCCTGGGCTGTGGGCAGGGTGCCTGGCTGGGCTGGCACCGCCGTGGTGCCGGCACCGGATGAGCAGTGCCAACAGCGCAGGACGTGGCGTGGCTCTGCATGGTGAGGGTAGCAGGATGTGGAGGGCTCCCATTCCCTGAGCTGTCCCTGCTGTGGGGCAGGGAGACGCCAGCTCCTACATTTGCTGAGAGGGGTGACATCTCATGTGTGGTCCAGAGTGGGAATGGTCAGTGGCAGGGGGCTCTCAGATGAGCCTGATGCTTTTTGTCCTCCACAGTGCGTAACAAAGGGCGAGTCTTGATCCCCCTTAACCCCCAAGAAGAAGTCACATGTCCCAGTGCCTCCGTGGAAGCTTTTCTCAACAGCACCCTCACCACCCGCCTCCTCCCTGCCCTCTATTCTGTGGTCCTGCTTGTGGGGCTGCCAGCCAATGCTCTGGCCTGCTGGGTCCTGGTAACAAACTTCAGGAGATGTTCCAGCACCCTCTTCCTGCTCAACCTGGCCAGCGCTGACCTGCTCTTCGTCCTTCTGCTGCCCTTCAAGATCTCCTACCACCTCTTGGGCAATCACTGGCTCTTTGGGGACTACCTGTGTCGCACCATGGTGGCCTTCTTCTACGGGAACATGTACAGCTCCATCCTCTTCCTCACCTGCATCGGCCTGGAGCGCTACATCTCTGTGGTGCATCCATTCCTGTGGAAAGGCTCCAGCTGGACACGGGGCAAGGCGGGTGTCTGTGTGGGCATCTGGTTGGTGGTGGGGCTGGGCATGAGCCCTCTGCTCTTGCAGACCCAGACAAGTCACATCTCAAGCCTGAACATCACAACATGCCATGATGTCATCCCACGAAAGGATGAGCACGTGTTCTTCATCTACTATTTCCTTTCCCTGGTGGGGCTGGGCTTTGGCTTGCCCTTCGTGCTTATGATCATATCTTACAGCTGCATCCTGGCACGGCTGCTGGCTGAGGGGAGACGCTACGGGCAGGTGGTGCGTGTCCTGGTCCTGGTCCTCCTTGTCTTCATCCTCTGCTTCACCCCCAGCAATGTACTGCTCTTCATCCACTACATGCTGGAGGCCACGGGGTGCCACAACGTCACTTACATCAGGTACACCCTGGCCCTGGCGCTTGGTGCCTTCAACAACTGCTTCGATCCCTTTGTCTACTTCTACATCTCCCAGGATTTTCGGAGGTGGATCCGGGGTGCAGGCAGCTGCTGCCCGGGTGGTGTCAAGACCTTGACGGGGAGGACCTCAGAGAAGGCAGCCTTGCCCCTGAAGTCCAGTCAGCAGGACCAGCTGTAGACAAGGCTGGGGAGCACTGGGCTGTGCTTGGTGCCCACCTTGAAGGGCTGCGCCGTCCCAGGCTGGCAGCAGACTTGGGCAGAAAATTCCACCTTGGATCTGAGGTTCACTAGGACTTTGCCCAGTTTTGCAGTTCCTCCATTGCTGCTTGTGCCGCCCCCATCCCATGGGTCCCCTAGCTGGGTGCCCGACACTGGCACCCGTGTCTCCCCACCTGCTGCACCCCAGCATCCCTCACCACTCATCCTGCAGTGACCAAACCCTCCAGAGTACAAATAAACTTTATTTCTCCCTGCTGGTGGAAGCAACATGTATAAATACCCGAGATGAGCAGGAGCCGTCCTCCATCGCCAGGTCTACACACCGGGCACACATGGCCAGCCCTGCTTCTGTTGACCCCCATTAAAATATGCCATGCTAGATGCAAGAAGGGAACTGGGAAATGACTTGGGTGTCCTGACCCTGCCCCATAGGCCCAGCACTGGGGAGAGGACATTGTGTGGTCTTCCTCTGTGCTGGCACCACATGCCCTCCTGCCTGATACCATGACGTGCTGCCAAAACATACAGGCAGGCTTTTATTTTCCCTTTTACTTGCTTCCCTCAGCACTGGGCCTGATGGTAGATGTGCCACCCATGAGCAAGAGCATGTGTGGCAGCATCCCCAGCCCTCCCAAGGGTGGGTACCACCTCTTTGCATCCTGGTCCCCACTAGTCCCCTGGTTCCCACCAGTGCCTGCTCCCAGCCCAGATCCACGGTGAGGAGGAGGAGGAGGACACGGGCTCCATGTTGTGGGAGTGTGGGGTACACATCATCACTGCCACCAGGCATGACTTGACCCCCAGGTCCTTGGCTGTCCCTTTGCCATGACAGGTCATGTCACCTGCTGGCCTGGCCCTGGGGGCTGGCCCTCGTTCTTCCTGAGAATGACATTGCTGAGCTCCTGGATGAGTTTGTTGTTGATGGGCGAGGGAGGCTGCATGTTCCTCTTCCTGGGCATCTCCTGGGAGGACTCTGTGCTGGGGCTGCTCCCCAGCACAGCCCCCTGGTCCCAGTCCCTGGCCAGTGCCAGGGAAGGCTCCATTTTCCTCTCCAGAGAGGCTGTTTTGTTGGGTCTGAGCTCCTGGGCTGGAACTTTGTCACTCTCCAGGTTCAAGCCCCTTTCGAGGGACAGGGCTTTGGTGACAGAGGGACCCGCCACCTTCTGGGCTGGACTGGCAGGCAGTGAGGAGCGCAGTGCTGCGACTGGGGGTTGCTCAGGGAACGGGGATGGCTTCTTGGACCTGTCCACGGGGGGCATGGCCGACAGGTCTGCCAACAGCCCCTGCCCCAGCTCCAGCGTGGCCAGCTCGGGAAAGTTGCCCACCTCCTCGTAGACAGGATCAACATCCGCTTCCTTCTCCTGCTGCTCCTCCAGGGAGTCCTGGTGCATCTTCATGGGCTAGGGGAGTGCAGGGGATTGGGGTGAGGGGCACTGCCTGCAGCACTCAGCCGTACCCCTCCATGCCCCCTCACCTTGCCCTCCCTGCAGGGGACCCAGCCTCCATCAGGTCTCTTTGCTCAGACACTGCTACCCTTTCTTTCCCCATTGCTAATGGAGGGTGTTTTGGTCACTGCCAAGGCATGGTCCATGCCACCAGGTTGTGGCAGCAGCCCAGCATCCCTTGGCAGAGGTGGTCCGGGCTGGGGAGGGCAGATGGGTGCCCAGGCAAAGCACAAAGCCAGGCGATGTGAGGTCCATCCAGGTGGCCACCGTGGAAATAACCTGATGGCAAGGAGGACACAAACCTATTTTCTCACATTTCTTACGTTCAGCTCCTCTGGGCAATATTAAGCCCAACGGCAGAGGTGCTGGGAGCTGGGCTGGACTGTTGTGGCTTTGCTTGCATACACTGGGACCATTCAGGAACCCCCAGTCCTGGGTGTGGGACACACAGAGCAATGGGCACCCCCCTCCTCTGCCACACAATGTGGGGAGGATGGCCTGGACACGTCTCTGAGTGCAGGTGGGATGCTGCAGGCAAGCCCTTGCCGCCGTAACCGGGAGGCATGGCGCAAAGCCAGCAACGGATGCACTCCACGCGTGTGGGTACTTACAAAGAACATGGACAAAGTCCTTCGTGTGTGCAGGCGGCGCTAGAAACAGAGGAGACAGGCAGAGGTAAGCATGTGATAGCACAGAGCAGGGTCACAGATGCCTCGGCAGGCAGAAGACAGGCAGTGGGGCACAGCATCCCGTGTGTCCACACAGCCCTGCACACACGGAGAGCTGCCACGGACACAAGCACAGCACGCAGCACGCACACGCTGGCGAGCACAGGGACACACACCCAAAGCATCCATCGATGCCAGGCGGCGTGCACCCGCCCCCGGGGGCCTGGGGTGGGCGCATGGTCTCGGGAGGGGTGCCTGGACCTGGGTGGGCGCAGGAGCACTCATGGGCAGGGTAACTGTGGGGGATTTACCAGGGTCTGGTTGGCAGAGAGCATGGTGGCGTCGGTGCTGTCCCCATGCAGCGGCACCAGTGGCATTGTGCCGAACTTCTGCTTGGCGAGGTCGGAGGAGGAGCGCCGGCGCATGATCACAGGGCGCAGGTCATCATGCTGTGCACAAGGACAGGGCAGGGAGGAGGGTCATGCCCTGCCAGTCCCCTCCTGTCCCACGGCCAGCACAGCCAACCTGCACCCACCTGAGCCTTGAGGATGCTGGTGGTCCAGTCCCACAGCTCAGCCTGCCCCGAGCACACCAGGTACCTGCAGAGGAGTCAGCTGAGAAGCTGCCAGGGAGCAGGACTGGCAGCACCCAGGTCCCCTTGTCACCTTTCCTGTGAGCCCAGGGCTGCCAGGTACAGCTACACACAGGGGGCTGCACCTCTGAAACTTCCTGCATGCCCAGATTTCTGCTTCCAGGCAAGGTGAGAGCTTGCCAGGTACCCGTGAGCCACCTCAGCTCAGCTGTTCTTGCTGCCCTGTGAAGAACATCTCAGCCCCATGCTGGTGGCAGGTGATGTGCTCAGCCGCTGTCCCAGCATTGCCAGTGCAAGTGAAATGGGGACAGGATCAGCAGGGTGCACAGTGTGCCTTGACACACAACGGTGCCAGGGAGGTCGGGGCAGGGAGCCCAGCTCAGTGCAGGGTGCAGGATCACCTGGTGTTGGGTGCACAGGGACACGGAGCCATGCTGGGTGAAGGCTGGCAGGCAGCCATGTGGGTGGCATGCACACCCAGGCAGGGTGGGCAGGTCCCTCTGGAGCCCAGAGCTTGCAAGACATGTCTCCCAGGGGTGCTGTTGTGGGTGGGGAGGTAGGAAGGGTGTGTGGTATGGAGATGGGTTGCTTATAGAGCCTGGCCCCGAGCTTGTTCCAGGGAGCATGTGGCCACACCACTCTGTCACTCGAATGCCCCAGTGAGGCACCAGCTCTGGTCTGACTCCCAGGGCCCTGTAGCACTGCCCATGGCTGTCCAAGTCCCATTAAAACTGGGGACAGGTCTCAACGTCCCCCCAGCCCTAGGATGGCAGGGGCAGATACTCACAGCTGCTGTTTGTCCAGGGTCAGCGTGAAACCCCACCTGCGGAAAGGAAGAGACAGGCTGTGGGGCAGAACTGCCCAGCTCAGACACCGCCTGGGGTCCATGGGCAGTGGGGTGGGGGGTTGAGCTCGCCCCATGGGCCCAGGCTTGTCATGGCTTTGGGTCCCAGTGGGGCTTGGCATGGCCCGAGCAGCTGGGTTCGTGTTCTGGGGGCAGGGACTGAGGGATGCATGCCCCAGGGCCACGGCCAGGAGAGGTCCCACTTACTGGGCTGGTGGCTTCAGCTTCTTTCTAATGCCCATGTAAACCTTGGCTGCATCCAGGGGCCACTCGCGCTCTGGCTTGGCACTCTGGGGAAGGAAAGCCATTGTGTCAGCCCAGCTAGATGCCAGCCTCCCTGCCACGAGGACAGCCACCACCGTGCCACTGCTGTCCCCAGACTCCCGCTCCCTGCTTCCCCTCCCTGGGGCACAGGTCCATCCCTGCAGCATCCCCTGAGTACCCTCTTCTCCTTGAGCAGCAGCAGACTTCGGTCCCGGATGACAAAGTAGCGCTCCTGAAACTTGTTCCCCAGCAGTTTAGGGGGTTCCTCACGGCATTTCAGCAGCCCGCACTTGGGGGTCTCGCGCTTGGCACCTGTCCAGTGTAGGGAGAGGGGGATCAGGGAGATTGGGAGCATGTGAGCGTGGCTGGGGTACTGCAGGAAGATCCAACTGTGGGTCTCAGGGATGTGCCCCTGATGGTTGCAGGGCAGTGGCCAGGGCAAGGGGAAGTTCAGGCAGATCTGTCCCCTGCTGGGGGCACCCTGAGGGGCTGGGACCCTTTGTGATTACCTTACCTGTGAAGAGACAGCTGCCCTCACCAATGGGGACCTTCCTCACCAGCAGGTACGCAGCACTGGGTTCTGGGAGCTTGCACCACTGCAAAGCTTGCTCCAGCACCTTCTCCTTGGGGTGCAGGGGCCGCTCTGGGGAGGCAAGGACACTCTCACTGCTGTGTCTCCTCCATTGTGCCAATCCCCGTCCTCCCTGCCCCCAGCAGCAAGCTGCCCTCTGTCCCATACCCCACACCTCCTCCTCACCAACCTGGTTGCTCAGAGAGCATGTCCCTGTACCATACCCACCACACTCACCCAGCTCCCCGTTCTCCAGGACCTCGAAGGTCAGCCAGATGTCCAGGCTGGCTGCCACATTGCGCATCTCCAGCACCTGGTTGGTAAGCTCCTCTGCCGTCATCGTGGGGGACACCTGAGGCCGGACACATGGGGAGCTGCAGTGGGTGGTGGCAGGATGGGTCCCAGGGACAGACTGCGCTAGAAGCCTCTGTCCTTCCTCCCTTCCTCTAGCATGGCCCTCCTTTGGGACTCACCTTCAGGGTGACGCAACAGTCGGGCAGCTTCTGCTCCAGGTAAACCTCGATGATGAGGTCCCCTGCCTGTGAGAGCTGGGGGAAGAGTGGGTGGCATTGGTGCCATGCTGGCATGGGTGCTGTGAACATCCCTTCTCCCCAGGGGCTGGTGATGGTGTCCCATGGAGCTGGGGCTGCTGCTCTCCTGGGGAGGAGCCTCAAGATGATGGGCAAAGGGGAGACAAGTGTGGGGGAAGGTCCTTCCCCAAATTTCTGCTGTGGGACAGCGGAAACCCAGGGTGGGCAGCTGGGAGTGTCCCCAACCTCCAGGCTCTCCCACCAGCCCAGGGTCCTTGATGTGGTGGAGGCTGGCAAACACATCCTTAGTACCTGAGTGTCCTTCCAGGTGGTGATCAGACTGTTCTCCAGATCCATCTGCGATACCTGGTCCTCGTCAATCTGCCAGATAAAGGGCACATGGGGTGAAAGGGGAGACACATGGTGTCAACGTGGACAGCAATATGGCTTGAGGACACATGGCCAGGACAGAGGCATGCAAGAGGAGGTGGAGGTGGGCAGTATTGAGGGGAGATACAAAGTGAGATGGACAGAGACGTTGCGGAGGGGGGTGGCAAGGCCCTTGCAGGGATCTTACGTTGAAGACGTTGACATAGTTGTCAATGAGGTCTTCCATCACCTTGACCTCGTGCTCCCCTTTGCCATCAGTCTGGAAGAGGCTGGGTGCGAAAAGCAGTGACAGGTTCTTGGTGCTCATCTGGTTGAGGTCTGCACATTTCTGCACCCTGGGGCAAGGAGCACAGGGGTGAGGGGCTGGCCCCGCTGTGGGTGGGGTTTCAGCCCCAGCCACCCTCCTCTGCCTCATACAAACTCACCTGAAAAACAGCCCGTTTTTACCCTGCTCCCCAACTCCCCAGGAGGGGGAACTTGAAGCCAGGCAGTTCCTGTTTCCAGGACTTCCAGCTGCCACCAAACCAGAC